GGTGTCACAATTCAACCTTTTTAACACTCCATTCATTGTTCTAAGGCTGGCATCTGTTGACCTTTGTGAGGCATCTTCAGAATTGGTTTTTTCTTCAGCTACCGTAACCTTCTGATGACAACGCATAGCTAGCTTCACTTGTAGGCTTTTAGTCCCTGCATCTGTTTGTAGTTCACTTCAGGCTCTGTGCATTGTCTTCCATTATGATTCATTAGTTTGGGCTTCCTTCTGAACTGGGCCCTCCGGTCATGCTTCCTTTCCCCTGACTGGCCTATGTCTGCTCCTCAAAATTAGTGATAGGTGATAGAGCATTGGGCCAATGAACTAACCAGTGAGTGACCCCTGGGCCTTCTTTAGATACCTGACCAGCAATTCCCTCACTTTAAAATGGGAATAATCATATCTCACTGGGTACCCAAAAACCAAACCTACTGCCATCAAGTCAGTAACTCATAGTGATCCTATCTAGGATTCCTCAGACTGTACGTGACTATGGGAACAGATAATTCTTAGCTTTCTCCCTTGGGTGGCTGGTGGGTTTGAACCACTGACCCTTCGATTATTAGCCCAAGGCCTAAACGAAAGTAACTCCAGGACTCCTTAATCACTGGATGAAGGGAATTAAATTAGTTTGTCCACATGACAGACTTGAGTGAGCGGACCACAGTGCCAGTAGGCTTTGACCCAGTGACCGCCTCCCCTAGACCAGGCACCCAGGCACCCAGAGGACTGGTCCTTGAGGGCCAGCTCTGCTCTGAGCATGCCCTGGTCCACTTCTCACCATTCCCGAGCAGCTGTCCTGCTCCAAGTAGACCAAGCTCCTCCACAGCCAAGAAGGTGTTAGCCTTCAAAGGAGTGCCGTGATGGGAAGCAGACTGTGCAAATTAAGTGGAAAAAGATTGAATTTCTGCAAAGCAGGTTATTGAGAAAAGAGGGATAGCTGCCTTCAGTTTAAAAGCAAGTCTCCCCTACAGTTGCCCTGTTTACCTGAAAACCAGGGTTCCCTTGCCTAGTGAATAAGACACCTGCATATTGTCCTAAGAGACCCACAGCCATGTCACTGAGTTGCTTTGAAGATGTTTCCCGTTCTGTTTATGAAATGGCTTGTTACCTATGGCATGTGCTCTGACTCTTACACTTAGTGGTAGTTGTTATTGATGTTGAGTGCTATGGAGTCAGGTTCCGACTCATAGCGACCCTATAAAGGATTTCTGAGGAGCAACTGGTAGATTTGAACTGCCGATTATAGTTAGCAGTCCAGTGTTTATCGTACAGTGCCATACCAGGATGCCATACTTCCAGTAGAAGTAGACATCCTAGGCATTATATTTTATAATCTTCCAAGGAACAAAGCCCTGCACCTCTTGAGTCTTGATTTTCTGGGGAAGTCCTTTCTTTGTCACCCCGAAGTCTTCAAACCTCGTTCATTTCACATTTTTTGCTTCATTATTGTTGTTGTTAGCTACTGTCGAGTCAATTCTGACTCATATCGACTATGCACCACAGCCTGGTCCTGAGCCATTCCTTAATTGTTACACACGACCCTTTTGCTGCTGCTACTGTCTCAATCCATCTTGTTGAGAATTTCTGTTTTTCACTGATTCTTCACTTTATCAAGCTTGATGTTCTCCAGGGACTGGTCCCCCCTGATAACATCTCCAAACTATGAGAGACATAGTCTTGCCATCCTGACTTCTAAGGATCATTCTGGCTGTACTTTTTCCAACACAGATTTGTTTGTTCTTTTGGCAGTCCATGGTACATTAATATTCTCCTCCAACACTGTAACTCAAATGCATCAATTCTTTTACGGTCTTCCTTATTCATTGTCCAACTTTCAGATGCAGATGAAGCTATTGAAAATACTATGGTTTGGGTCAGGCATACTGTAGTCCTCAAATTGACATCTTTGTTCTTGAACACTTTAAAGAGGTCTTGTATGGAAGACTTGCCAAATGCAACATGCCGTTTGATTTTTTGACTTCTGCTTCGATACATGTTGATTGTGGATCCAAGCAGAATGAACTCTTGGCCAACTTCAGTTTTTTTCTCCATTTATCATGATGTTATTTATTGGTCCAGAAATGAGAATATTTGTTTTTACATTGAGGTGCAATCCATACTGAAGGCTACAGTCTTTGATCTTCAGTAAATATTTTAAATTCTCTTCATTTTTAGTAAGCAAGGTTGTGTCATCTGTGTATCACAGATTACTTATGAGACTTCCTTCAATCCTGATGCCATGTTCATCTTCATATAACCCAACTTCTTGGATCATTTGCTCAGCATATAGACTGAATAAGTATGGTGAAAGAATCCAATCCTGGTGTACACCTTGACTGATTTTAAACCAGTCAGTATCCCCTTGGTCTGTTCTAATAATTGCCTCTTGGTCTGTATACAGCCTCCTCTGAGCACATTTAAGTGTTCTGGGATACTCATTCTTCACAATGTTATCGATAGCTTGTCATGATCCATATAGTAAAAGCCTTCACATAGTTAACAAGGCACAAGTATACATCTTTCTGGTATTCTGTACTTTCAGCCAAGATCCATCTGACATCAGCCATGATATCCTAGTTCCAAGTCCTCTTCTGAATCCAGCTTGAATTTCTGGCTGTTTCCTGTCTATGTACTGTTGCAGCTGTTTTTGAAATTATCTTGAGCAAAATTTTACTTGCATGTAATATTAATGATACTTTCCAATGATTTCTGCATTCTATTGGGTCACTTCTCATTGGAATGTGCACAAATATGGATCATTTCCAATTGGTTGACCAAGTAGCTGTCTTCCAAATCGCTGGGCATAGATGAGTGAGTGCCTCCAGTATTTCATCAGTGTGTTGAGATCCCAATTTGTATTCTGTCAATTCCTGGAGCCTTGTTTTTCACCGATGCCTTCAGTGCAGTTTGGACTTCTTCCTTCAGTACCACTGGTTCTTGCTCATATGCTATATCTTGAAATGGTTGAACATCAACCATTTCTTTTTGGTACAGTAACGCTGTGTATTCCTTCCATTGTCTTTTGATGCTTTCTGAATCATTCAATATTTTGCTCATGGAATTCTTTAGTACTGCAAGTTGAGGCTTCAGTTTTTTTCTTCAGTGTTTCCAGCTTGAGAAATGCTGAGCATATTCTTCCCTTTTGATTTTCTAATTCCAGGTCTTTGCACATTTCCTTGTAATATTTAACTTTGTTTTCTCCAACTTTCCTTTGAGATTCTCTGTTGAGCTCTTTTACTTCTTCATTTCTTCTATTTGCTTTAACATCTCTACGCTGGAGAGCAGGTTTCAGAGTCTCTCTGACATCCATATTGGTCTTTTCTTTCTTTCTTTCCTGTCTTGTTAATGACCTTTTGCTTTTTCATGTGTGATGTAATGGATGTCATCCCACAGCCTTTCTGTTCTTCAGGTGGTTAGTAAATTTAGGTGGGCTATATGCAAGGTTTTATTTGGGTTCTCATGAACTTGTTTTAATTTTCTTCAACTTCAGCCTGAACTTGTATATGAACAGTTGGTGGTCTGTTACACAGTCTGCCCTGGCCTTGTTCTTGTTTTGGGTGATGATATAAAACTTGTCCACCATCTTTTCCCACAGA